ACATTAAATATAAATTTATTTATTTTGAACCAGTGTTTTATTCTAAATACACTCTCTTTCTTTCAAAATTTCTCCTATACACTCTCTCCCTATTTTCTTTCAATAACACTTATAGGAGTTCCAACCGGACTCTTAAGTTCGGTACTTTAAGATTCTTCAGTAATATAGCTGCAACACTTGCAGTATTCCAGAGATAATTAAAATTAGTCGTAATGTAAGATAACATAAGTTAAAAATCCTACCCCACAAAAGGAAATACCTATCTTTGCATTATCAACAATTTTCCTCCACTGCAAATGTCTAAGCATCAACCCAAAGACGCCTATGTTTTTTAATGTATAAACTGGAATCCAAATGATAAATATTTGTAATTGTTCTCATTTTTCATGGAATCATGGAAATATATGTAACTATAACTATCTGATACATGGACTCGTTCTCATGTGTTCTTAATTTGCAGGCTATGAGGTTTGGAAACCTTCCAGAGTGGGCAGTTGAACTTTCCAACTCAATCCGTCAAGCCATTCTTTTTTGTGGTGGTAGTGATTCTTGTGTTCCTGATGTGCCCTTAACAACAAACAGTGGGAATGACAAAGAATTGATTAGTCTCTTTCCTCCGGATTTATTATGGAGGGAGCCTTTGTTTGATCAGCTTATTGCAAATGTATACCAACCAGGTGAGGTGAGACTGGCCCTACAAACATGCCTTTGTTTTCTGGCATATGTTCAATCTTGTAAGTAAGTTGTTTTCACTTTGCATGTGAATAATAGACACGAGTTATGTTTTCCCTCGTTACCAGAGCATCTTTATCACTCCACTGTCTTAAGAGTTTTTTCTACTTGTAGTCTTTTAAATGGGTGGTTGAAGTCTTCTAAATGGGTCTTATTGATATTCTTGGTGCATGACTTTGATTTTTTTTCACTTTTAGTTTTCTTGGTATTGTGATAATGGCACTTTTGCTTCTCGAACTATTGTGATAGTGACACCTTTGTCTGCAACTATTGTGGCGAAGTTCAAAGACGAGTAACCAAAATGTACAAATAGTAAGAGGACTAAAAGGAGGAAAGTTCAAAGGTCTTTACCAAAAGTGTGTTGCAAAACTGACTCTGTCCGTTGCCTAGATGACTAAATGTAGAAAAGTTAAAAAATGGGTACTAAAACTCTAAAAGTGTCATTGTCATAATAGTCAGAAACTAAAAGTGGAAAAATTATCATCGTAATAAATGTTTTCCAAAATAAAACTTTTTAATTTGGGTGCGATACAACTTTATAATCTTTTGAACTGACATACTAAAAAATCATTGGTTTGGCTAAATCTATACAGCTATACTTTACTTGTTTCAATAACTACTTTTGTCCTAAATCAGAGCCCGTTTTAGAAACATGTTCAGTTCTTGTATAATTTAGTTAAACCAACAAATCAATTGGAAAATTATAGATTTTAATGTTTTCAGGATTGTGACTGCTTTTATTTTGGAAACAAAATCAGGGCATACGTGCACATGTTGATCTCATGAAGTTTGAAGATGGAATTGCCATTGTCTCCCTGGAGTCTTCATGCGTGATGCATTTTGGAAGAGCAGAAAGTGAAGACGTTTATAGTTTGGCGGAGGATGATAGTAGTGGGAAGGTGCCAGTGCTTTTAAACCCGGGTTCACTGGCCTTAATGTGGGGAGAAGCTCGATACCTTTGGAAGCATGAGATCAATCGCAAGCAGCAGACTGCTGGGGGGTTTCAAGAATGGCAGGGCAGGGTAATCACTCAGAAAAGAAGAACATCTGTCACCTTGAGAAAGCTTTGCCTGCCAGATTGAGTTAGAGTAGAGGACTAGACCTTCCTCAAGCGTCTTTTTCAGTGGCTCTGTCTCTGTGTACCTCATGTGAAGATCCAAGAGTGCAGAGCCCTAACATGTTGTAGCTTTACCCTTAGAAAGTGTTTGACTGGGAGTGTATATCCAATGAGGTTGAACTCGACTGAATATTTTAAAATTGTGACATGCGTAGTATTTATGCAGTTGCTAAATCAATGTGCAAAAAAAATCAAGTGTATGTATTGATAATAGTGAGAACTGAGAAGGCGAAAATTGTACCTTGGATGATAGGTTAGAGAACAAATGTAGCCATCAATTTTCTTTAGGAACAATTAAATACAGTAATTATACAGTTAGAACAAACATGTCTTTATGTCTAATGGTTTAGGCGGAATATAAGTTCAATACTCCATATATTTTAAGGATATATTTATCAAATTCCCAAAGAAACTTCGATAGGTACATTTTGTTACCTGATATTAGTTCAGGGCATATATGTTCTTTTTACTATTCTTAATACGGAGTATAAAGGCTGTGAATACGAAGCTTCAATAATAAAAACCACCTTCGAGGCTTCAACTATGTTTTCTTTTTTCATTATTAACAAATTAATTAATGTATGCAATCAAATGAAGAAACGGCTTTGTCAGGTTCTTTTTTTTGCAAGAGGCTTTGTCAGGTTCTTGTTTTCCACTTTTCATTTATACCAGTATTCCTACCCATGTGAGGAAGACATGTTTAGTTTAACAGAAATTGGAACAATCAATAATATATGAAAAAACTTTACTAATATGAAGTATTACTTTTAAGAGTGATGGACAAAAATGTAACTTAGTAACTATTAGTGATTATAATTATGTTCAAAAAATACATTATATTATTCCAGAAAAGGTGGAATCTCCCGCCCCAGAAGCCCCACACCCTGACTCGACAGAATGATGGAGGAGTAAGTCAAAAAGTACATTATATCTAGTAACTAAATGATGTATTTTTTTAACCCAATCATAGTCATTAAAATTTCTAAATCACAATTTTATGAACTTTTACAATAAATACATAAACAAAAAATCAAAAATGACTAAACACGGAGACAAATAGTATGAACTAAACAGTACTCAAAATACGTTGTACAATTTAAGAACTTTTTGGATGGGCAAAAAATAGTTTGTGCTAATGTTTATGCTTTATAGGAGAAAATATTAATTTCAGTCACAATTTTTAGAAAAACACAAAACTTAATAGCAATATTAAGTCGATTCGATCAAGAGTTTACGACTATGTAAAAACTGTTATCTACGTGTTCAAATTAATAGCATGTACGGAGTATAATACTTCGTATAAATTATAAATAGAGTGGGAAACACAAAGGCAGAAAATCCAAGCCCAACAATAAACGATTTTGTCCGACTAACATAGGAAATGTCTCCCAGGATAGAATGGACTCGTTTCCATTATTGGGACTCCAACGTACTCGAAGATGCAAGGATATTAGGGAAGAGTGACGGTGAGGGAGAGAGTGTTTTGGATAGTTCTTATGTAGAATTCATTGGATATTTATAGAGTTTTGGGCTAGAAAACTCTCGCCTAATAAGTGTAATTTTAACACATCTTCATTGATACAAAAACATTGATACATCTAATAAGTGTAATTTTTTTTGGACAATTCTTTTTAACCTATATAAAATCTAATAAGTGTAATTTTAATGATTGTAAAATGTAAAACATTGATACATCTAATAAGTGTAATTTTAATAATTGTAAAATGTAATCCTACATCTTCATTGATACAAAAACATACGGAGTATGAATTGGTAATAATTTAGCATGCGGCCGCCTATATAGTACTTGAGAGTAAATAAATTACTTTTCTAAAATACCAAGTACGGAGTATTAATTATGAGTAAGGATGTTTTCTTTTGACTGAAATTTGATGGTCAGGTCAGGTCAGGTCTGGTTTGAACTGGTTTGGTCTGATCTGGTAAACGTCTGGTCTCTATGTATTTTATAATTACGGAAGTCAAATCTGGTCTGGTCTGATCTGGTCTGGGACGGAAAACAGTCCAAAAAAAAACATTCTAAACTTGAATCCAATTAAAGTGTTGTAAGTGCGCTATCCCAATGATAGTACTGAATATGGTTATATGGGCAGTTACCGGATGTATTTCTTTGAAAATGGATGAAATGTAGAAAACAATTCAAAAGATTGTTTCCAATTATTTGTTGTCACATCTTAATCCTAATACAAAACATTGTTAGTACTCGTATACTGATATACCTTTTAAAAGGGCATTAAACTATAGCAGGGCCAAAAGATCCTTCCAGTTTTGACTTTTAACACTAGACTAAAATGTCACCAAACGTAGTATGAAACATTTTGACGATAATGAGTCAAACACATTACAGTATAGTTTTATCAAATAAAATATCCAAAAATGCAAACACTCAATTAACACAAGTTTGAAATCGTGGCAATAACTAAAAGGAAAAAACTATTGTACACATTTTTTGTACACACTTACACACTTGTGTCTGCGAAGTGTTTTTTTTGTCTGTATACAGACACAAGTACATAACGCATTTGAAGTGTCTGTGAAATAAGTTGTGTCTGTATACAGACAAAACAAAACACTTCACAAACATGAATGTATAAGTGTGTGTACAAAAATGTGTACCTCAAGTCTAGTTGTAACTAAAAAGTGTGCTTGGGGAATCCGACCCTAATGAGTACGTTCAAAAGAGGAGAGAATGACCGAATAGAGCATGCAAAAAGTGAAAACGTGAAACAAATTTGGCAAATATGTTCAGTGTTTGCAAAAAGAAAAAAATATGTAGTTGGACATATTTGGTGAATCTGTGTCTTCCTATTGGCCAAGAATCTTGGGCGCGGATCACCATCTTGGATCGCCAATTGAAGGGTGTGGATTGGCTTCTACTTTAACGGATTTGGTGAATCTTTCCACATTAAATTAATATATTGCTGAACATATTTGGCGAATATGTTCGTCTTCCTATTGGCCAAGAATATTGGACGCGGATCACCATATTGGATTGTGACTTTGGTGGTGCAGATCGGATTCTAAAGGAACGGATTTGGCAAATATGTTCAAAAATAATAATATTATAAATAGACAAATTTGTCAAATCTATTCTATAAAACCCACCACAATTCACACTTCATTCATCATCCAATTTCTCTCTTCTTCATATTTTGGTCATCTCCTTCATCTTAGCCCAAGTAAGTTTTTCCTTATTCATTTTAAGTTTATCTTAGTAACTATTTCAATTAGTGTTACATTAGAAATAAAATTAGTCTATAATTAGTGTTAATTTTTAATTTTGAAATAGAAACCTATCAAAAAAGTGAAATAGGAAAGTTACCAAATATCAGTTTATTTACCAAATAGGAAAGATTAGTGTTTATTTACCAAAGATGTATGTGTAAATTTACTAATGTGCACCTTAACATTATTTTTTGATAATTTTTTCACCATGCGTTTGTAGAAATCTTTCCTATTTTGGTGTAGAAATTAGTCTATATTTTGTGTTAATTTACGAAATATTAGCCTATAGTTAATGTTAATTTTTTAATTATGAAATAAAAATTTAATTAGTGGTAAAATTATATTATAAAAATGTGTTAATTAGTGATATTTAGATGTAGCATGAGATATAAGATGGAAATACAATAAATTGTACGCATTATATGTTATATCCAATTATATTATTTATTAATTATTGTAGATCAATAATTGTAGTCAGAGAATTTTAATTTTGAAATGGTAGTGTTTTTGTTTAATTAGGTGTATTATTTTATATGAAAAATTGTATTATAAGTAGTGTTGTTTAAATAGATTTATAATTTGTATTATAAATAATGTTGTTTAATTAAATTTGTAATTACGTACGGAGTATAGGAATTGTATTATAATAGTGTTGTTTAATCACATTTATAATTCATATCACACATATAAGTATTGATTAGAAATTAATTTAATATATTATTAGGCTTTCATGGCTGCACAACGAGAACACCCCCACCTCGGGCCCGTAAAACGTTTTGTATTGGTGATGAGACCTGGAGAACATCCTGCTGATCATGTGTGGAAAACTGAAGCGTTGAGAGATGCCAAACTTAAGTGCATTACTTTCCCCAAATCCGCCAACGATGATGGCGAACGTCACCCTAGAGTCGTACAACTGTTGAGGGCATCGGGCTTTCACGGAACTGAACGATTAGGAAAAATCAGTATTGATTGGGGTCTTATCACCGCATTGGTTGAGAGGTGGAGACCAGAAACACATGGTTTCCATTTACTTTTTGGCGAAGTAGGCATTACCTTGCAAGATGTATAGGTGCTGATCGGGTTACCGATTGACTGTCTCCCACTTACTGGTCCGACGACACATAGTAAGACTGAATGGATGCAGATGTGTAAGGATTATGTTGGTTTCATGCCACTTGATGATGATATATCATCCAACAATATTAGAATGCTAGCCATTCAGTGCTTTTCGTTATCGCCGTGGAGCACAGAAATTGACATTATTCGTCATATAAAAGCGTTGAGTTGACAGTTGCTCGGTGGGTTGTTGCTCCCTAGCACTAGCGGTAGAGTGTCGTTCTACTTTCTTGAGTTGTTGCAGAACAACTTGGAGAATATGACTAGGTGGAGTAGGGGCTCAGTTGTGTTGGCATATTTGTACCACAACTTATGTCAAGCGGCAAAGGCGGACAAAGTTTCGGTGGGAGGATGTTTAGTCCTTCTACAACTCTGGGCATGGGAGAGGTTGCCGATGGTTCGATCCCAAGGGGTGCTTCCATTGGATAGAATATTCGATTTGCCTTATGGTGCTAGGTTTTATGATTTGTCTTATAAGCCGTTAAATATAGGTGGGCTTGTCGGCATAACTGGCCAGACACTATTAGATTCATTTTACGCATTTATAGGGACCAATTTGACTGATTAAGGGAGTGTGAGGTAAAATTTTAATTTATTTAATGAACTGTTTTTATTTATAATTTTTACTAATATGGAACATCTGTTTTGCACAGTTTGAATGGACCCCTTGCCCGCTTATGAGTCTTCCACCATTTTGCACTAATGCATATGAACTGTGGGCAGCTGAAGTTTCACTTATTTATTGTTCACATTTTGAGGCATACTATCCTGCCAGATTTTGTTGTCAATTCGGTGCAATCCAAGATATACCAAATTCGGTGATTCATAACGACCGTCACCATGCTACCCGACCACAGAATAGTGCTGACTTAATTACATAATGGGAGGACCGATGGCAAAAATTATACGTGTTTGACTCGACAAGAGGGGACTTCACTAAGGAATATCGTAAATGGTTCCATTACGTGGGTAAGATACGAATTAACAACCCCTCACAAGACTGTCCTAGAACCGGATTTGTTCCAGCTCATCCAGAATCAGCTATCACGGTTAGTATTTAAGAGTGTTTAGTATTTTCAAATAATGTAATATTTCACAGTATTAATTGTAAAATTTATATTCGAGCTTCAATGTTTGGGGAAGGTTGCACGGGAAATGCGTGACAAAGGTGACCCTCGTGATTACCCAATGATGGAGCGAATCAGGAATTGTCTAAGGCGAATAGGTAGGGGAGAGCAAACCCGACCCTACCCGATTGACCCGATCGGATATATCCGATTTTATTTTTTGGGTCGGATAACCCGACCCGAATGACCCAAACCCGATCCGATTTTTGCAACCCGAGAGTTAAGTGGGTAGCGGGTAGGGTTACCAATTATGCTACCCGACCCGCCCGAAAACCCGAACTAGGGTAGTATATATACTACTTTGAATTATTATGCATGTTCAAATATCTCAATTATTATATGCCAATTACCATATATGCATATCAAATATTCCAATTTCCGTATTTGCAAAACTATAACTTTGAATGTTGTATTGTTATGATTTTGAATGATATTTTGACCAATTATCATTTTATTTATCATAATATCAAATATGTCAATCACCGTATATTATTATTTTACATGTTCAAATATGTCGATTACCGTATTTATACAACTATTACTTTGAATGTTATACTAGTATAACTTTGAATGATATTTTTACCAATTACCATTTTATATATCACAATTTCAACAATAATAAATTAAAATCCGAATGGACCCGAAAACCGAACCAACCCGACCGAAACCCGAACTTCTTCAACCCGAAAAACCCGATAAATTTTTTGATCAGGTAGGGTTTGAAATTATCAACCCGATACCCGAACGGGTTTACCATTTTTGAACCCGACCCGCCCGAACCCGCCCCGTGCTCTGCCCTACGAATAGGTGCAGAAGAAGTGATCGATCATGACATAACCACATTTGAAAATGTTGATGAAGGACACACATCGCCCCATGGACAACTGAGCTGACCCACGAGATGTGGGTTACATGATGACGATACATATCATGATACACCCATGTAGGCGATATTGTCTTCGACACATTCGAAGCAATTTTATGTCCCAATCTCGAAGCGAGCAACTAAAAAAATTGTGTTGGCTTGCGGGAAGTTACCCCATTCTAATTGAATTCAATAATTACATGCAACAAATACGAGGTGCTAATGAAAGAACATTCAACTATCTTGATGTCATTCCCAAAGTTTTTTTTACTCCGGGATAGGGGGGCCCTGGAGTAATCAGGGCTGAAACTCACTCCATTGAGTTTCAAACCCTTATGTACCTAGCGGGATTCAAACTTGAGACCTCCCACTAGGCACGGTAACCTCGCAACCAGCCGGGCTGGAATGCTTGGTTGTCATTCCCAAAGATAAGTGGGCACTTTATTTTGATGATGGGTGTCGTTATGGGATTTTAACAAAAAATCTATCCGAAAGTTTTAACCATGCCCAAAAAGGATGTAGAACGCTTCCAATTACAGCACTTGTGAGAGCAACTTTTGATAAATCTGTTCAACTCTTTGCAGAACGACGTAGTGCTGGTATGTTGTGGAATCAAAGTGAATATCAATTTTCGGAAAAAATCCAAAAGCAGATTATGGATCGATGGCAACAAAGGCGTCACACTGTTGTAATCCCGGACAATCATCATAGTGGAGTTTTCTCAGTAGCCATAGAAAATGCAACTCCGGTCACAATACAATTTTCAAGGTACGACTGTGATTGCGGGTGCTGGAGAATGAACTGGATGTCATGCACCCACGTGCATGTTGTGTGTCACTTCCTCAACCGCCATATCGATCAACTTATTCCGAAGGTATATAAATTGAGCTCTTACATTAATGCACATGTAAGGGGTGATATTATGCATTTAACAAATATGAATGAGTGACCAGATATAGGGTTCCATCTTTTACCGCCGAAATATTTATCATGAACTTCTCAAGTGGGACGTCATCAAGAAACAAGGTTTCAAAATGAGATGGATATGCATCCAAGCAGAAGAAGAGGACAATGATTTCATGTATTTTTAATATTTTAGCGCTTTTTGCAATTTATTATGAAATAATTGTACTTTTATATTTTTTAAAAACAAGTTGTTCCTTATCATTTCAATAGATATTTCAATTTAGAATATATAAATTTTCATTTGAGTAGACAGTACCTATCTTTTTTTGAAAGGTTGCATGACATAAATAAGGCATTCTACTGATTTTTATACGAAAATGAATGATCATATTTGTCGAATCTGCTCTAGATTTTTTTAATTGAAAATGGTTGAACAGATTCGCCAAATCTACTTCCTATATGGAATGGAGACCAAGCTTGGAGATGCTACGTTGAAAACTGGTTGGATATAAAGCTTTGGTGAATGAATCTGCAATTTGGTTTTCTGAAGGAACAAAGAAGAGTTTGATGAGTCCTTCATCAACTTTAATCCTTATGAAGTGATAATCTATTTCAACATGTTTGGTTCTTTCATGAAAGGAGGGTTTTTTAGCAAGTTGTATAGCGGATTGACTATCACTATAAACACAAAATGGAAGTGAAGTCTTGACGTTCATGTCTTTTAGCAGAAACTGTAGTCATTGTAACTCACATCTTAATGATGCTAAAGATCTGTACCCTGCCTCAGAAGAAGATCTAGAAACAGTACTTTTTTTCTTAGATTTCCATGAAATAAGCGAGTTCCCAATGAAGATGCAAAATCCTGTAATAGACTTTCTTGTGGTAGGACAAGTGGCCCAATCTGAATCAGAGAAGGCTTGGATGTTCAGGGTATTTGTTGATGAGTAAAATAATCCAAGACCAGGGGAAGCCTTTAGGTATTTAAGAATCCTTAAGGCTGCATTAAGGTGTACATCTCTGGGGTCAGATACAAATTGACTGAGGTGTTGGACTGCAAAACATATATCTGGTCTGGTGTTGGTAAGATATATTAATCTACCAATAAGCCTGCGGAAGGAAGTAGGATTGCTGAGAGGTGTACCAGATTGTGGAGTCAGTTTGTTGGAAGGGTCCAGTGGTGTTGAAACAGGCTTGCATCCTGTAAGTCCAAACTCATCAATGAGTTCTAAGCAATACTTTCTTTGATTAATAACTATTCCTTTCTTAGAATGGGCAACTTCTAATCCAAGAAAGTATTTAAGATGTCCTATATCCTTAATGTGAAACTGAGTGTTCAGATATTCTTTGACATATGTGATCTCATGAATGTCATTTCCAGTGATGATGATATCATCTACATAGATGAGTAAGAATGTAATGTTGGAACCAGATTGTTTGGAGAAAAGAGAATAATCTGCTGAACTGTTGTGATATCCAATGTGAGTGAGGGCAGAAGTTAATTTTTGGTTCCATTGTCTACTTGCTTGCTTGAGACCATATAATGACTTGTGGAGTTTGCATACCATCAGTTTGTGTGAAACCTTTTGCTACTAAGCCTGTCTTATATCTCTCAATAGATCCATCAGGTTTAAACTTGACCTTATAAACCCATTTGCAACCTACAGTGTGTTTGCCTGGGGTAATTTAACTAAAGACCATGTTTCATTATCCTGAAGAGCTTTCAGCTCCTTTTTCATGGCAGTTTTCCAACATTCATGTTGGCTGGCTTGTTTGAAAGATCTGGGTTCAATGTGAGTGGAGATAGCATTACAGAAGTTCACATGGTTTTTGGAACAATGAGAAAGATCAATGTATGACTCAAGTTGGTATGGGGTGGAAGTTGAGGTTTTGGAAGTTCCACAATAGTATGATGTAGAAAATGTTATATTATTGTAGAAAATGTTACAAGATTTAATTTGGTGTACATATTTAGCCGAATAGATTAGAACATGTGTTGTTATTTAGAGATAAGCTCGTAGTAATCAAGATCCTATTTTTTAGGATCTAAATTAGCTGATTAGTTGCTTGTACATCTGTATAAATATTCTGGCCGATTGACATATTCAATCAAGGAAGTTTTATTCCTAAAACCTACATGGTATCAAAGACTTGAATTTACACATTCAAATGGTGGAATTCGAACACTCTGACTCGTCTCTCCATTCACATACCAGTAACCCCCATATTAGCTCCATGGCAAATTATCAGACCTCGGTTAATTCATCTATGCTCATCACTGGACATAGATTGAATGGTAGAAATTACCTAGAGTGGTCACAATCTGTCAAATTAGCAATTGATGGCAAGGGCAAACTGGGATACCTAACTGGAGAGATCCAACCAAAGAAAATTGGTGAAGATGGCTACAGTGTCTGGAGGTCAGAAAACTCACTAGTGACAGCATGGCTTCTCAGTTCAATGGATGCATCAATCGCCAAGCCTCATATGTTTATGAAAACTGCAAAAGAGGTATGGGACTCTATTAAGGAAACTTATTCAGATCTTGAGAATTCTTCTCAGATCTTTGAACTCAAAACTAAACTGTGGCAATCTAAACAAGGAAATAGGGATGTCATTTCACACTATAATGAATGGTATCTCTATGACAAGAATTAGATCAATGCTATGGTGATGAAGAATGGGAAAGTGCCAAGGATCTGGCAAGGCATAGGAAGAGAGAAGAAAATGATAGGGTCTATATGTTTCTAGCAGGCATAAATAGAGACCTAGATGAAGTTAAGGGAAGGATATTTGGAAAAAAACCTCTGGCCTCAATCAGGGAAGTGTTTTCTGAGATCCGACTGGAAGAGAGTAGGAAGAAGGTTATGTACAACACTCCATAACCTCATGAGGAACCCGGAGAGTCTTCAGCTATGGTGGCCAGAAGTAATGACCAGAAAAAACCTTGGTGTGACCACGGCAAGAAATTATGGCACACTAGAGAAACCTGCTAGAAACTTCATGGGAAACCACCAGGAGCTGGAAAGAAGAAAGCTCTACAAACAACCGTGAATGAGACTCAACAAGAGCCACAAGTCAATTTCAAACAGCCTTCCTTCACAAAGGAACCGATAGAGCAACTCCTTAACCTTCTGAATACTCAGAAAAATTCCAAACCTGCATCTGAATCTTCCTTATGTTCTTATGCCCAGAATGGTACCTCTTCCTTTTTTTGTTCTGGGAAACCTAAAAGTACCTGGGTCATTGACTCAGGGGCTACTAATCATATGACCTCTATTTCAAACCTTTTTTCTTCATATAAACCCTGTGCAGGGGACAAAAAGTCAAAGTAGCTGATGGCTCTTTATCAGCCATTGCAGGAATGGGAAATATTAATATTTCCTCATCTGTGAATCTGTCCAAAGTCCTTCATGTCCCTGATCTTTCCTGCAATCTTGCTTCTGTTAGTCAGCTAACCAAAGATCTACAATGTTGTGTCATTTTTTATCCCTCTTATTTCATTTTTCAGGACCTAGCATCGGGGAAGATGATTGGCAGTGCTAGGGAGGAAGATCGACTCTACATCTTTGATGAAGGGACTCAATCAAGTAAAAGAGTTCCAAGAAATGCTTGTCTGCAAACTGTTTCTTTTTCAAATAATAAAGAGTTGTATTTGCTTCACTATAGACTAGGACACCCTAATTTCCATTATTTAAAAAGGATGTTTCCTCAGTTATTTCTAAATAAAGATTCATCTTTACTTTAGTGTGATATGTGTGCTCTTGCAAAACATCATAAAAACTCATATCTTCCCCACAATTATAAACCTACTAGTCCTTTTACTTTGGTACACAGTGACATTTGGGGAGCATCTAGAGTACCAACTTTAAAGGGAAAGAGATGGTTTGTAACTATTATTGATGATCATACACGAGTCACATGGGTTTTCTTGATTAAAGAAAAATCTGGAATTGAAAAAGTATTTAGGGATTTTTATGCTATGGTCCAAACTCAATTCAATACCACAATTAAGATGGTAAGAAGTGATAATGGTCGTGAATATTTTTTTGCTGAAAAAGGCATAATCCATCAAAGCTCTTGTATCAATACACCAGCTCAGAATGGAATTGCATAAAGCAAAAACATACATTTACTTGAAGTCACTCGTGCAATCATGTTTTCAACAAACATACCAAAATATCTTTGGGGAGAGGTTGTGTTACATGTTACTTACTTAATTAACCGCATGCCATCAAAAATTTTAGGATTTAAAAGTCCTAACAATTCACTACAGAATTGCTTTCCTACAAATAGAATGATCAACACTCTTCCTTTGAAAATTTTTGGTTGCACAGTGTTCATAAAAAATCCTGATAAAACTGCAAGTAAATTTGATCCTAGAGGAACAAAATGTGTCTTTCTAGGTGTTTCTTCCACTCAAAAAGGGAATAAATGCTTTGATCCTATAACCAGGAAAATGTTTATTACTATGAATACCTTTTTTGTGGAAGAACAACCTTTTTTTATTCTCATCTTCAGGGGGAGAGTTTAAGAGAAGATGTTCAAACATTACCACATATCCATGAAAACCTTAATTTTCTTGATATTAATCTAGATGATATTCCATCTGAAAATGATCAAGGAATAACAAATAATAAAATAAATACAACTGAACCAATTGAAAAAGAGCAACAGACAAGTCAGTTCTTTGGCAAAGTTTATGAGAGAAGAGTTCAAAATCAAAGAATAGAGGAAGTCCAAGAACCTGCAACTGTTCATGATTCTGACTCAATGACAGGGAGTGAAAAAGGTAATACTTCTATTCATCTTGACCTTCCAATTGCCCTTAAAAAGAAAGAAGAACATGTGTTAAATACCCTATCTCAAACCATGTTTCTTATTCTAAATTATCCTCACCCTTTGCAACTTTTACTTCTTGTGTTTCTTCTATTCCTATTCCTTCAACCATACTGGATGCTTTATCTAAACCTGAGTGAAAGAAAGCTGTTTTGGAGGAGATGGAGGCTCTTGAAAAGAATCAGACATGGAAGCTTGTAGAGCTACCTAAAAACAAACCAACTATTGGTTGCAAGTGGATCTTCACTCCTAAGTTTAAAGCAGATGGAAGTCTGGAGAGATACAAGGCAAGGTTAGTTGCTAAGGGATACACGCAGACCTATGGCATTGACTACACAGAAACCTTTGCACCAGTTGCAAAGTTGAACACTGTAAGAATTCTCTTATCCCTTGCTGCTAATTTGGACTGACCACTGCAACAATTGGATGTAAAGAATGCCTTTTTAAATGGGAAACTTGAAGAAGAAGTGTATATGAACCCTCCTCCTGAGTTTGAGAATAAATATGGTGCAAAGGTATGCAAACTGGAGAAAGCTCTATATGGACTTAAACAGTCTCCAAGAGCCTGGTTTGACAAATTCACAAAATTTGTAAAGAAACAAGGGTTTAATCAGGCTCAAGCTGATCATACATTGTTCATGAAGTTTTCAGACAAGGGGGAGATTGCAATACTAATTGTCTATGTAGATGATATTATCCTCACAGGAAATTATCATACAGAGACTAAGAATTTAAAAGAAAAGCTTGCCCATGAGTTTGAAGTTAAAGACCTAGGAGACTTAAAATACTTTCTGGGGATGGAGATAGCTAAATCAAAAAAGGGTATTGTTGTCTCACAAAGGAAGTATATCTTAGACCTTCTGCAGGAAACTGGAATGAGTGTATGCAAACCCGCAGACACTCCAATTGACCCAGGTCAGAAGTTGGGAGATATCAAGGAACTTTAGTTGATATTCACCAATATCAAAGATTTGTAGGAAGATTAATATATTTGGCACATACTAGGCCAGATATTGCATTTGCAGTAAGTATGATGAGCCAGTTTATGCATAATCCTTTCCAGGAACATCTTGATGCTACTTACAGAATCTTAAGGTACCTGAAGAGCTGCCCAGGGAAAGGATTATTTTTCAAAAAGGAGTCAGTAGGACAATTGAGGCCTATACTGATGCAGATTATGTTGGCTCAATACATGATAGAAGGTCTACTTCTGGATATTGTACCTATGTATGGGGAAATTTAGTAACCTGGAGAAGCAAGAAACAAAATGTGGTTGCTAGAAGTAGTGCTGAGTCAGAATTCAGATATATGGCTAATGGAATATGTGAATTACTCTAGATCAAGAGAGTAATTACAGAACTGAAGATGGAGATGGAACTGCCTATGAAGCTGTATTGTGATAACAAAGCAGCTATAAGCATTGCTCATAATCCTGTGCTACATGATCAAACTAAGCATATTGAAGTGGACAGACACTTTATTAAAGAGAAGATAGAAGCAGGAATTATTTGCACACCATTTGTATTCACCAAAGACCAAACAGCTGATATCCTCACCAAAGGGTTGTTTAAACATGTGTTCGAACTGCTTACAACCAAGTTGGGAATGTATGATATATATTCACCAACTTGAGGGAGAGTGTAGAAAATGTTATATTATTGTAGAAAATGTTACAAGATTTAATTTGGTGTACATACTTAGCCGAATAGATTAGAACATGTGATGTTATTTAGAGATAAGCTCGTAGTAATCAAGATCCTATTTTTTAGGATCTAAATTAGCTGATTAGTTGCTTGTACATCTGTATAAATATTCTGGCCGATTGGCATATTCAATCAAGGAAGTTTAATTCCTAAAACCTACATATGAACTTAGATAACCTGGTGTTTTTCTAGTTCTAGAAATGGAGGAAGTGTTGGGATTGGAATGAGGTTCAGAATGGAGTGTGGGAGGAGATTCAAGGTTGTAGTCATAAGAAATGGATTCATTAGATTCATGAAAAGGAAATTCTGTCTCACAGAAGGCAACATCCCTGGATATAGAAATGTTTTGATGATGAAGATCATATAGTATGAAAACTTTTGTGCCTGTTTTAAAACCAAGGAAGATGCACTTATTTGCTCTTTTATCCAGTTTGGTTCTATTGGATGATAAAGTACTGGAATAGGCAAGACAACCAAAGGGTTTGGGTAGATTAAGATCATGTTTGGAATGATGAATGGTTTCAAAGGGAGATTTTTGATGTAACACAGGAGTTGGTAGTCTGTTGATTATGTGAGTAACATGTCTTACTGCAAAAGACCAAAACTGAGGAGAAAGTTTAGCTTGAAAGAGTAAAGCTCTATTGGTGTTGAGAATATGTTGATGTTTCCTTTCAACAATAGAATTTTGTTGAGGACATTCAACACATGATGTTTCATGTTGTATTCCATGAGTTTGGTAGAAGTCAGGAATAAGAAACTCTTTTCCATTGTCTGATCGAACTTGTTTTAGAGTACAATCAAACTGATTTTGAATTAGAATGATGAAAGAAGTGACTAGTGACCTGACTTCAGACTTTAATTTCAGAGTATGGACCCAAGTGAATCTACTAAAGTCATCCACAATGGTTAAGAAGTATCTGTAACCATCAATAGATGTAGTGGACAATGGTCCCCATATGTCAACATGAATTTTTTCAAAGAAACGATGAGATTGTGTTGTACTAATAGGAAATGGAAGTTTCTTTTGCCGTGAAAAATGATAGATATCACAATTATTAAAAGAAGCAAAAGAAATGTCTTTGTATTGGTGAGAAAGTTCTTTAAGTACAGTATTGGACACATGACCAAGTCTTAAATGCCAAGTCATAGAAGAACAATCAGGATGTACAACATCTTGTGTAACTTTATTTATAACACTTGAACTACTCTTAGAAACATTACAAGAGTTGAAAGATGATGGAAAAACTGGATTGCTTGTGGAAGGCAAGTAGTAAAGACCTTGAAACTTTTTAGCTTGTCCAATCATCTTCAAAGATTTCTTCTGCAAAATGAAACAGTGTAGTTCTGAGAATAGAACACATGAATCAGAAGAAACTAGTTTTGCGATGGAAAAGAGATGAGAGTGAAACTGTGGTACAAAGAGAACATGATTCAGTGTGAGATTGCTTATGCTAACTGTACCAGATTGATAGGCAGTGACAAATGAACCATTGGGAAGGTTTACATGGATGGGGAAAATATAAGTAAGACAAGAGAAAAGTTTTGGAGAAGGGCAAATGTGGTCAGTAGCACCACTATCTAAGATCCAGAAAGGAGAGTTAAAGTAATTACCAGAAAGAATGAGAGGGCTAGTGTTGGTCTGATTAACAGAATGACATGACTCTTGGATATTGGTGTGTTGAAGGAGTGCCATGATTTTTTGATATTGCTCTTGGGATAAGGTAAACTGATCTTGAGGTAAATTACCTGTAGGGCATTGAGATTGTGAGGTCACAATAGAGTCAATGGAAGCTAAGTTAGCAGAAGAAGCATGAGAAACATTAGCATTCTTAGATTTGTAGCCTGGAGGATATCCATAAATCTGAAAACAAGTGTCTCAAGTGTGATTGGTCCTTCCACATTGATCACAATAGCGATTTCCTCTGCCTCTTCCTGTTGATAAATTTCGTCCACCACCTCGATTGTTTTGAAATCCACATCGATAAGTAGAAGAAGATCCTTTTGTGAGTGAACTGTTTTTAGGTTGATCTTGAGTTGTGACATTGAAAGTGGTAGCATTGAGTGTGGCCAAAGTATTCGTGGCACCAAATTCTCTTTCGTGTTGCAAAACCATGGAGAAAACTCTTGTTATAATAGGCGTTGGTTTTATTATCATGATTTGAGATCTGACCGGAGCAAACTCTTCATTTAGACCTCGTAAGAACTTTATGATGAATTCGTTCTCTTGTTCTTTCATAATCTTCTTAAGAACTCCACATGAACAAGGTGTTGAACATTTACAAGCAAGAACAGTGCAATATTGTTCCAATTCTTTCCATAGGGTTTGCAGATTTGTGAAAATTTGAGTAACAGAAGAACCTTGACGGAGTTGATGAATATCATCATGTAGGTCAGCAATACGAAACATATCTCCATGAGAAAAGCGCTCAGATAGGTCCGTCCATATTGTTGGTCCGGTCCATATTGTTGCAACTGTATCAAAGTATATTACAGATTCTGCGATTGACGGTATCATTGAACGCATAAGCCAAGCCATGACTATGCGATTGCATCTTCTCCAAGGTTCGTATAGAGGATCAGTTGTTGCAGAAGGAAAGGATCCATCAACAAATCTGTCCTTATTCTTTGATTCAAGCATTGCAAGCATGTTATGGTGGAATGAAAATTCTTCTCCGTGAGAAGAACTGGAACGAGAACCAACGTAGAGTTTTCATTAGGATGAAGAAAAAGCGGATTGGAAGGATTGATCAAGTGGACACCATGATGAAGTTTCAAGGATTCATCAATGGATTCTGCGGAAGAAGATGTTTACATCTGATACCATATTAGCAGGTGAAATGTGGAAGAAGATAAACTTTTCATATCTGAATGACTGAATGTAATGGTGTACAGAGATATTTATACAGAGTGGAAAGCAAAGTCAACGTAGCTAACTATCTAACCAACTTATCTAACAAACTGTTATAAGAAGTAATATGCTATATACGTCTCCACAATGCTTGTATGAGTGTGCACATGTGGCGTATATGTTAATATTTTTTTAATTAAAATAGAACAACATATTCGCCAAATCCGTTCAGCCTTCGGAATGGTTTGTGGACCAAAATCTACATTTTTTGGAATGGTCTGTAGGGAATCTACCCTGTTTTGTCAAATACCCTTCAAAAGAGTCCAGGTTTTATACCGTAGAGAGATTCATATATAAACTTCTGTTGAAGATTTGAAGCAATCCACTTGTGAATTGTTGCTTCCCAATAGACTAAAGATGAAAATTCCAAAATGAGATGAGGTTCAAGAACTCTATACATTCTTGTATTTTAAAATTAAAAAAAAATCACAAAAGGCAGTGGATTTATGGATTACAAACACAAAGTATTATCTTTCAAGTTTGCTTAACAGTGCTTCAACAGGAGGTAACTCCTTGACAATCTGTCCCCAGTCTGGCATCCCCTGAAACATAATAATAATGATAGAGCCAGAGAGTAAATTCCATAGAGAACAAGAAAAGGCTATGAATTGAATAAATGCCGTAAAACCTTTCCAGATCTTCGAACACGGCCATCTAGACGAAGTATAATATATACATCTTCACCAGGAGCGACACCTTCAGATTTCTGTTGATCTCTAATCCATCTGAGCAAAATTAACAAACCATGCACAGCCCAGAATGACAACATGGAAGTCAATAAAGATCAATAAGATTAACACCTACTGTTCTCCTAGGAATATTTATAGTATATGGGGAAAACATACTGTTCCCACTCAACTGGTGACACTGCCTCTGCTTTGAACCGAATCTCTGCTTTTAATTTTGATTGCGCAATTATCGACTCACTTCGCTTCTCGAAATCTTCCTGTCATAATAGCATCACAAAAAACATAAAATTGTATAAGCTGTTAATCCCCGATGTTAGTCCCTTTACCATTCAAATTGAATACAAACTAAAAACAACGCCGAACGTCACCTGAACAGATAAAAATGTCTTTCCTAATGAAAACATAAACTTGAGGACTAAATTCCACCCCAATTGCTACTCCAGGACCAAATCGGATAAGTAGGATATTAATTCTTTCAAGTAGTACTTTCATAAGTTGCATCATTACATACTTGCAGTAAGCAATTACTTCTATGTTCCAAGTTCTGTGCATTTTTTCACTGCCTTGACATAATAATCTGACTGTTCTACAAGCATAGCATCCCATTGATCCCAAGTAGCTGCTTATTACTAGGAATACTAGGAATTTGGCTCATGTGTCATGGCATGCTTCAACTTTTACAGATCATTCAGAACTCATTTGGTAATCGCAGTTTTCGATGAAATTACTAAAATTGCATAACAATAAAAAAACATTTAGAAAAACGCTAATGACCATCTTCATGAACTTTAGCAAATTCAGCTAAAAAGTATTTCTGCCCCCCCCCCCCCCCCCCCAACCCACTTAAACTAGTGTGACAATTCAAATAAATTAAACTACTTTTAGTTAAAAAACTGGCTGATAAGTGGAATAAATTGGCTACCATAATTCCAAGCGGCCAGTCAAAGTTCCAATCTTACCCCAATAGAAGGCAGAGATGCGGATGTCTTAGGAGAAAGGCCAAATCCTTTTTTCGGTGTCTGTAGGTCTCGTCCATCACCCCATATAACTGGAATTAGAAGGACTCCGCGCTTGACTAGCTCACTGCGGAACCTCTCAGCTCTTTTCATGGACAGAGTAACTGTTTCTTTCTTCCCAGCCAAAATAACCTATTTGCAGGAGCCAGATTAAAACCTAAATTGAATTGCATTATGAGAAGGAAGAAAGATTGGAAGATGTAGATACACTGGGATAAGTCATTGAAAAGTGACTCCATGTTAAGTCAGGAGGAGAAAAGCACTAAACAAGTACTCAGCAACAAAATATGAACGGAAGCAAAGTATAACACTAAAAATGTCTAATGACATGTTTATATTTCTTGTCAACTTTTTCCTTGATTTACCAAACTTCTAAGAGCTCCTAAAAGTGCAATTTTTTGTGGAATGACCTAAACAGCAACAAGTAGACTATGTTTTCATTTAATGTGAAATATCATTGCATCTAAAATATGAAGAAGAAGAAGAAGGATAGAAGAAAAAGGAGATTCATGTTACTAACAGGTCTCACAGTGTTGCGCAATTGGACAAGCTCGATAATTCTATTAGTTGAAAGGCGAACGGGAAGCCTTGACAGCGTTTCATCCCTTGTTATTTGCACAAGCTGTTCCTCCTCTTTCTTGTTGTCCCACAAGAGCAAAGCTATAAAAACAACAATACCTGCAATATTGCTGGTTCAAAAACTTAATCATTTTATGGAACGGCAGAAGTAAAGTTTTTAGAGGAATAGAAATACCTTCTGCTGCCAAAAGAAGTGTTTGGAGAAAAATAGAAAGTATGTTAAAAGTAAAAAACACTTTAATGCTTAATTAGGATAATAACCAGTGGGTGCTCTTCCAGAAAAACTTTGAGTGCTTTAATGAGAAAGTGAATATGATAACCACATGTATTTCAGTAAGCCCATAAGTTATCATAAAGAAGCAAAGATTCTTCTTCAATAGTTCCACCTTAAGATGAGCAATTGAAGTATAGTCACAAGGAATTAAAGTTATTTAGAGGAATAGAAATACCTTTTACTGCCAAAAGAAGCGTTAGAAAAAAAAAATAGAAAGTGTTTTTTTACAGTAAAAAACACTTCAATGCTTAATTAGGAGAGTAACCGGTTGGTGCTCTTCTAGAAAAACTGAGTGTATTAATGAGAAAGTGAATATGATAAAAAGCATGTATTCCAGTAAGCCCATAAGTTTGCATAAAGAAACAAAGAATCTTCTTCCATAGTTCCGCCCCAAGGTAAACAATTGTAGTATAGTCAGCAACAAAAACAAATTAAACCAGAATTTTTTGTTACACACCACCAACATTGATTGCAGCATTTCCTGCAGTTTCCCAAATATCAGGAGAACCATCTCCACCTTGAACTGCACGGATTAGCCTTGGTATGGTGAATAACAGAGATATTCCTGCAGCTGCAGTAAATGCCACATAAAAGAATCTTCTAACCCCTCGAAATGGAGCCTGGACCTCACTAATGAGCTTCAGGTCTCTTCTGAAACTGTACCCAATATCTTCTCCGCCTAGCCTAGCCTGAACGTACGGTAAAAAATAATATTGTAGATAACAATGCTTGTATAAAAAAAACTTGGAGTTGCTTCCATTATATCATGATCAGTTGATCACCTTGATCCTGAATATGTTGGAGTAAGTGACATACTACCTCCATCCCTTAAAGAACTTCCTAGCTTGAATAGCACATGCTTTAAGGAAATAACTTCTTCCCGTTGTTCTTTCCTTTAAATTCCTAAAATGCCCTTGTTATTGAGGGTCAATTTTACTGTAGAGTACGCTGTTTTGACACTATTTATCATTGTACAACCATTATTATTTAAGAGTAGTTTGACGCAATTGATAAGAATTTGTTTAGTAAATAATAAAAATGAATTTATTGAGGAATATCCAAAAAAAATAAAGCAAAAAGTTCTTTAAGGGACCTAGGGAGTATAATGATATAATCTATTGTGTCAATCGTTTAAAATTAGTTGATATTATGTTTACCATACCACATTGGTTGTTTAGTGAGTTTGAGTCTAGTGAGAGGTTAATTTCAACTTTTGAAGATCTTTTGAGAATACGTTAGGGCCTATTTAACATGGTATCAGAGTCGATACAATGTTTAGTTTTTGGGTTTCTGACCGCTTTATGGTTAGGTCCATTTGTTCACCGGCTTCACCCCTTCATTGTCGGCTTGTCGCACTTGGCTTGGCTTGTGGTGGGTGTGTTGAGTATGCATATTGGCTGTCCACTTGGTTTAAGTACATTATAGTATATACATATGAGGTAAACTAAAACTGAAGATATTTTTAGGGTGTGTCTTCTAACGCACTACAACCACATGCAAAAAAAACGTCCTTCCAATTGAGCCTTCTTAAAAAAGTATAATGAGGCCAAATTCCAAAATTGTCCTCACCGTAGTTTCTTTTCAATTGCATGGGTGATTAGTTGATATACTTGTAGTCTTAAGTCTCATTACAACATTGATATCGTAAAATTTACATGCTCGTTTAGAACATATAAGAGGGAAAACATGAAAAAACATTCATATAACTCAAGCGCAAACTTTGGTAAGCAAGGAGGCTAAGAAAATTCAGAAACACAGGCAATGAATGAACAACAAACCTCTTCCTGCAACTCCTTAAATACAGGCAATGCTCTAAAGGAAGCCAAGTCAGGATCATTTAGGATTGTGCCAAACTTGAGGTTATATTCTTTCAAAGCAAGGCGCAAACACTCAGCTGCTCTTTTACCTTCCCCCCTTCCCCCAAAACAAACAAGAAAATAAGATCCAATAGCGATGCTAACTGGAAGACAAGCTGCTTAGTAGCACAAAGAAAAGGCAAGATGAAACCAAAATTACCTGTATGCATGACAGCAAGCTTTGTTATAAAGTGCAGCTTGAGCTTCCACAGGATTGGGATCTAAAGTAAGTGCCAAGTCAAACTGCTCCAAAGCATCTTTCACCTGAAATTTAAAAACAGAGTTCATATACCACTGTAATGGCCTGTTTGGTACGTGTTACTGCCTCAACCCCACTATCTCTATCGTCAACTATTATTTGTATCTGTACTCTGTTGGGCTAATTAATTTTTCTTAGTATGCATGTTGCTTTCTCATGTCGCAAAGATAGTCGGATGAAGATAGTGTCATGTTGAAATGTGTAAACTATCTTAACTTTTCAAAGCCAACAGTGTTTAAACGGCATCCATTTCAACCAAATAAGTAAAAAAAAAAAATCTTGTGTCTATTCTGATTATTCTACATATGCAGAATCAGACTACCAAATCTAAGCTTTGTGAAAAATAGCCAGAGCATGCATCTTCAAGAAGAAACGGGATTTTTTTTCCTGATAGATTCATACATGTGATCCTATTAAGGTCAAAAGTGAAAACGGTGGGTTAAAAATTAAATTTTCACTTCAGCTTCGTTATAGTGATAACCAATTGAGCCAGAGCACCCACTCTATTGAGCACATTTGTGCAGAACCCATCATCATGTATCTATAAATGAACTGTTATGTTGATATTGCAGCTTAAGAAACTAATACTACTGTTCAATTTTTGTTGGATGGTAATGGGAGTCAAGAGGCAAGAGCCGGAAAACAAGGAAAAGAGATCCCTTGTAAAAGCTACAAGTCCGCAACCCATCTATTAACATGAAGTCTTACGAGAGAAGCACGTCATGCGTACCCGTCCTTTAGAAAACAGAGAAAGACCCAAATTGACGCAAGACTCGGCCGTGGAAGCTGTGGCATTGGATTCCGGCGGCGGCGGCGGCGAAGTGGAAGCAAAATAGAGCTGGTAACGGCGAGGTCTTTCCGAAGAAGCGAACAACAGTGGTGTGTGTATCCTTGTTACAAGTGCGGCTTTTGATACGTCCGATGCGAAGTAGCGGCAGCTGCTGTAGTAGTGGTGGTGGAAGGCAGCGGATGCCGCGGCCATGTATTAGAAGTTATCCGTTTTCCCAGATTTTATTTGTTCATTTTCACTCGGTTGGATGGCAAACATATTAGAAAAATAATTATTTCAAAATATCCGAGTACAATTGAATGGCAAAAATATTAGAAATAATTACAGAATTATAACTACAATAAAGATTGTTTCTACTCCCTCCGTCCCATTTTACATGTCCTACTTTTCTTTTTGGGTTGTCCCAAAATAAGTGTCTCCTTTCCTTTTTTGGAAAGAAATATGTGGCCTAACACTATTTCACTTTAGTATACCAAAACTTCAACCACAACTTTTACTTTTTCAACCACTTCATTAATACTCGTGTCAAGTCAAACTAAGACACATAAATGGGACGGAGGTAGTAATAGAATCCTAATACCTTATGTTCAATTTTTAAATTTAAATTACTATGACGCTACATTATAGTAATTATTAGTCATATTTGAAAAAATGAAAGTATTATTATATTCAAATAGGGTTTTATGCACCAAACCCATGTGATATGGAAAATTCGGCGTATTAGCCCATTGTGATTTGAAAAATGTGTCAAATCCTCTTGCGTTTTAATTAATCATGCACAGAATACCTTTTATGAATAAATTTAACGATTTGAAAATCATTTTTCCTAATATTTTGATTGAATATGCACGTAAATATTTTGACAAAAAAATTAATCATTTTTCTTTTATTTAACAATTGAATTTGTTAACAGAAGAGATTTTGTGCATAATTAATTAAAACACAAGGTGGTTGTCGCATTTTTCAAATCACATGGGACTAATACGCCGAATTTTCATATCACGGAAAGTTTGGTGCATTAAACCTATTAAAATATATTACTAAGTTTTTACTACTATATTCAAACATATTACTCTGTGTATTTTAAATGAATTAATCCAACTATTTTACTACAATTATTATTTTTATTTATAGCTTTGAAAGATTCGAATAGTTGATAAAGTTTTGAAAAAACAAAAAGAATATAAATAATAATGCAAAACATCTTTATAAATGTATCATATAGAAACAATTCAAAAATAAATAAATAAAAAATCAATAGAAAATATTCAAAATAAAAACGCTACAATTTTATTAATTGTTTTGAGCTACAAGGCGAATTCTTTATGATGAAATAAATTCAATATAACTCTTGTTGATAAAACTATTAAAAATTACTCCGTATTAAATACGTAATTTTTAAGAATTCAAATTTTAGTTGTCAATATTTATTTGTACTCCGTATTATTTTAGTCTTTGATATGACAAAGACTGACCCGTGACCCGGTCACTTGCCTAGGTCGCCTCCCGATCTGGTTTTGACAACACAGCTGAGTAGGAGTAAAAACGTTTTGAAATTCCAAAATAGGACCTTCATGTTTTTATTATCATATCTAAATATGAGTAAATATGTCAAGTTTAGAAAAAAGATGTCATTTAAAGTCTGATAATGTCAAACTTGACAGAATCTCTTATTTAGAAAATAAAAAATGGGAGTTCTATTTTGGAATTTCAAAAGTTTTTTACTCTTATCTAGGAAATTGTTCCTTTTTTACGATTTTTACATTATAGAAGTTTTGTAACTGTTCTTTTTTTTAATTTCTAATTGAGCTAATTACCTATATAGGAGTAATACTAAAGTTAATTGCACAAATAGGAGTGTCTAACGAAGGAAGGTTTCGTAGGAGTAAATTCAACATGATTAGACAAAAATAACCCTATTTCATATTTTCTAATTTTAAAAACGTAAAATTAAAAATTGTTGCAACCGTAAACATTCAGCTGCTAGCTGCAGCACTCATGCCACCCTCGCCCATATTCTTACAACCGCTACTCTTGCGGCCGCTGCCCTCGCCGGAATGGTCTGCCGCCGCATACGACACCGGCATGGCGGCACCGCCAGTCGCCGCCCCTAGATAGTTCAACCATCCATCGTTGCCCAGACCAGCATCACCATCTGTCGTTGCCCTAACCAGTTCCGCTATCCGCCACTGTCATTGTTGATTCCGGGGCCACACTTCACCTCCGAGTCAAAACTCCAGCTACATAAATCTTCCATTAAGTTGGAATGTTTTGCTTTGTAGATTAATTTCAATTCTGCCATCAAATGATATACAAACATGTCATAAAGATGGCAGATTTATCTTGGAATATTAACACAAAACTGCCATCAATTTGGCAAAAATATAGTCAATAACCAAATATTAAAAACTAATTTTTTTTATATAGAATAAGAACTTAATGCAATCTGAAATTAGAAGCACAAAGCTAATAGCAAAAACTAAAAAACAATCGGTTAACACTTAACACTAAAGTTTTTTTGCCATAGTAGATTGTCAGAGTACACATTTCTGCCATAAACTTGGCAAAATGTGAAGTCATCTTCCAAAATTTGGAAAAAACGATTTTTTTAAAAAACTAAGAAATCAGAAATCAGAACGGCGAAATAGAAGGCCAAAAACTAACAAAATTAATGTCAAATCCCAGAAAAATGGAAGAATAGAAGGAAAATTAGAAAAAATCAATATCAATTTCAGAAAATTAGAAGAATGAGGGAGGAGGAGCAAGAGGAAGAAGACTAGAAGAAGAGGGGGAGGGGGAGGGGGGAGGGGGAGAAGAAGAAGAAGAAGAAACCTGGCAGTGATCCAAAGAGAAATCGATGAAGTAAATCTGGTGCGCAGAGAGAACGAACGATCTGTTGCGGCGCAAGGCAGGCAAGGATTTCGGCAGCGATGATGGTGCGCAAGGATTTCGGCAGCAATGGCGTGAAAGGAGTACCATGGCGATGAATTGTGCGCAGGAACGATCCATCTATGCGCAAGAGAGAAAAGCAGATCGGGAATGAATCAGGGGCAAATGGGGAATGTAATTTAACGTATGTTTACAAGAGTTAATGTGATTTAATAGTTTTATCAACAAGAGTTATATTGAATGTAACTCTTGTTGATAAAACTATTAATGGGGAATGTAATTTAACCAAGAATGAAATAAATGGTGACCTAATATAGAAGATCAAGTTCTGGTTAACTTACTGAATTGGTTGTTTTTCATTTCAAACAAAACGTGTTTTTTATGACAAAAATTTTAAGTTGAAGATTAATGTGATTGAATTTTAAAATATGAGTCAATAAATTGTCCCTTTTCCCATAATTTGTCCAGACCTACACTTCCTTTGTACGTAGTACTCCGTATCATTTAGTTCATTTTTATAATCTATACTAGTTATCGCAACGCGCGTTGCGTGATGGAGATACTGCTTGCCCAATATTTTTTGTTCTTTTGTTAGAGAGATGTTGTGTGTGGTAATGTAGTACACAATTTATTTTTGAAGAAATATAGAGCAAGTGCAACTGTAAAGTATGTTGATTAATTTATTCATGTGTAAAATGATAATGTGTGTACAATTGGAATCTGAAATCTTAATAACGGTTTGATTCTTATAAATTATTTTATAGAACCGATAAGGAACCGAACGATTCTTAACAGTTCGGTTCTTATCATTTAACGGTTCCTAGTCTTTAAAAAAATTCTTGCAAATCACGATTAAATTTGTGCCAAAAAGACGTTCAACATTTGAAATTACAATATAAATATGTTGAACATCATTTCAAACCTCAAAAGTTGAGTTTAAAACATAAATACATAACAATTTGGAAATTTTAGTAAATAAAACAAAACAAGATATATTCACTACAATCGGCGACGTAATTAGCCGGAAAAAAAAAGTTCAATAAAAAAATTAGGTTTTTTTAATAAAGACATCATCATCATTGTCATTACCTAGTGCTGCAAAGAGTAAAAATGATATCACAAAAGAGTAAAAATTAATTAGGTCTTTTGTCTAATATATCATGAGTGACTATCCGACCCTCTGGAGTTTAGACCAGATAAGAGGCCTAAGAAGCCCAAGAGAACCGATTAAAATGAATAATAATGTTCAATACTTAAATAAATAAACTAAAATAGTGAATGTGATATAAAAATAGATAAGTAAATATATATTGAAATATATATGCTTATAAGAAATATACAAAATTTTAATTATTATATATTAAGTATAACGGTTTCTTAACGGTTCCAGATATATATATTTTTCAGGAACCGGGAACCGAACCATTAATAAATAACTAATAAATGTTGGAACCGAACCGAACCATATCATAACGGTTCGGCCCGGTTCGGTTCTCCCATTCTTGGTTCCAAAGTCCCAGCCCTAGGAAAAATTAATCATGGAAGGAACTAATAATTTGAATACGGTAGCATATAGAAGTGTTTATAGTTGGGTTTCATATCCATGTTTGACTGTTCCAGACCAATTCTCCTTTCATCACTTTAATTTCTCTGCCTAACAGAGAAGCATTCTATCTTTAATTCGTTAAGCTGATTTGATCTTTAGCTCTTCAAATCTGCTCTTTAAATATCTAGTTCTATTTTTCTATCTCAAATCTGTGTGATATCACCGCCTTTACTTTGTACAGATCAAACAATTAAAAAAACGGTAGATCATCATTCCTCCATGTAAAACATCCATCGTTGCTCGTTTTAGAAACCTATGGCTTCTCTAAATTCTTCAATTGCGTTATAAGCAATAGCTAAAAAAAATATACTAATGTCCTTGTACTTAAAAACAAACCGTACACTACTAACACTTATCCAGGCGTCCAAAACCCCATCAAACGCCATGATAGGGGGAGAAGGGTAGAAGAATTAAGAAATATTAGGGCAATAAGCACATAGAAATCAGGGGGAAAGTCATAGTAACCAAGCAATCAAACGCTTGATGGAAGAGAATCACGAGCAAATGAAATGCAAAAACAAATAAAGTACACGAGAATGCAAAACACTTGCTGCTATAGAGATTATAAAAACTGTAGTTAGTAAAAATTATATCTTAGTACACAATATCTGCCTAAATTTCTATGTTGGCCAATCCATTTATCCGGCCACGACATATATTTACCTTATAACGGAGTATTCATCCATCTGGCATACCATTTATATCAACCTGTCATGCTAATTGAGTAGTGTAAAAATATTTCAGATTA